ACTGGCATGGAAATAATACCGAAAACATAGGCCTACATCAAATTATTTTGATTGTATCAGTCGAATTTCGTAACAAAAGTGAGTAAGAAATCACTCTTTTCGCCTGATTTAATAATAATCCAGTTTATTTACGCATCAAATGTTGTGTCGCACTTGCATTCAACACTCGGTACATTCACGTTTTGTTTTTGTGTGTATGATCGTTTGACCTTCATCGTAAACAGGGGTTGCTTCTTTGAACAGCGCTGACCAACTGATCTTTCTACTGGTTAAGTGTTCTGTTTTCTTTGAGGTACGGACTGAATTATTACATATTATTTAGATGTCGGGAGTAAATATGGGCCTGTAATAATGAAATTGAAAGTAATTACTCTTAATTCATAAAATGTGTTGTCGGGAAGGTTTGCTGATCTTCGATGTGATGTAAAATGAAGTGTCTAAAAGACCGTTTTAGTCTCTTCCATTCTGACAAACTTATTTCATATGGTTATTGTTATGAGAGGCGTATCTTAAAACAAACATTTCATTAAGAGGAATTCAGGGTGAGAAACATCGTGTTTGGTTTATTCATCACTTTCAGTCGTTTCGGACTACAATCATAAGTCATCTGTGAAGTTTTAATTAGCTTTCTTCAAAATGTTTCAATAAACAGCGTACAGGAAACTACGAAAATCGCGTAATACGAATAAAAGTGCAACATTAAATCCTACGTGGCGTAGGAGGAAATATGTCACACATGAATGAAGTTCCTTCTGTGAAATGTAAGACATCCGTACCGTCTCATACTTCGAGTGTTACCAGTAACTCTCTAGGGGGCTACACCCTGCTGGTACCTAACTGAAGTACGTGCCACTAGATTCCATAAGAGATTAAGTAATGAAAGTTCATGTTCCATATTACTTAAAAAATTGTTATTTAGCTTTCAATGTGAGACTATACTAAATGAAGGCAACTAGGCCAACGTTTTGAAAACGAGTAAGTCAACAGCGTTTATTTACGGATTTCATATGATCATCAAAGCATATAGTGACTATTTACTTCAACTGCATAAACCAACTGAACTTTTATATGGAGAAGTGTTGTTCTTTGAATAAAACTTTGATGAATTTTGACTTGAAAGCTCTGCACGATCACTAAAACAAACGAAGTGAATTAAATTTTTAAGAGAAAAGAATTTGGTTATAGCACACCAAAATTAAATTTGAAGGAAAAATTTAATTTTCTGAAGGGAAAAAGTTACCGTATTTAGAAGTCAGTGTTCACCGGCTTAGACCCTATCTCTCTGACATGTCTGGCACAGCATGAATCGACATTTTCTGTCAAATTTATTTATAAACTTTTTATGGCTTGTGTCAGAAGAACAATTGTTTTGTAACTCTACCTAAAATTAAATAGTGAACTAGATTTGATACAGCGTTCTTCAAACATTCAAGAAGATAAACCGAATATCTTAACTGCATCCTTTTTGAGCCTACTGCGTTCTTCACAACGTACGCAGCGCCTGTGTTCCGTGTGGCAGTATTTTAATATGCTGATGACGTTATCTGTTACCGGTGAATGTGAACACCATACACAGTAACAAAATTATTTTTTAGCCCAGCAAAGAAAATGGACCGGATGTGGACAAGGCAAAGAAAAGAAGTGTGTCACAAAGTAAAAATCTAAAAACAAAGTTGTTGAAAATAGTCTGACGATGTTTTGAAACTTTTGCTTACATTTATTTAAACGTAGATCTCGGGGAAAGGCGAAGAAATACAGTACGTTTTTAAAGCAAGAATTAATAAAAGTTCATTCCATATTTTGTTTCGTACCTACACAAATTATTATCATATTTGTAATTCCTTACAAGTATAAAAGGCAGTTAGCACTCGCGTTTTCATGTTTAACTTCCTAAGTTTCTACGTTACAACTTCAAGCGAGTACACGAATTAGAAAGTTAAAAAAATATCGGCATGCTGTCATTAGTGGACTCGTAAATTTTCTGCCAAGGATACCGACAGAGTTAAGATACACTTTTTAAAATATTACCAGATTTTCTAAATATAAAATATTAGCACCAGAAAGATAATGGACTATTAGCAAAAATTCAGGTTTGCTCACAGCTCTATTTCGCAACAAAGAATAAACAAAAAAAAACCTTGCGGCCTCTGTAGTAGCTGTACGAAGTTAAACATGTCTAACCTCTTTCGCAATGAGGGTCCTGGAAAACAGGTAGCGAATCCACAACATTCAGAACGTCCCGGTTTCGAATATAGGCCCGGATACCGGCTATCCTGTCTGTGGTTCTTCGTGGCGTTCCTCAGTAATCCCTGGCAAATTACAGAATAGTTTGTCCAAGTTCCTGGACCCCTGGGGTCAAAGAGAACGGTTTCTGAGCATGACTGCAATGTAATCGCCATTCTCTTTAGGGACTAACTTATCCCTGATAACAAAACTTTTTACATCATTACCATTTTTATCACTATAATCATAAAATTCAAATCAGTATTTGAGGATAATTCGGCGAACGATGATAATGACGTTAGACTTCAGTTTCTCACGGGGAGAGTGTGAAGACGATTGTCATCTGGATTGTTCCGCAATGCAGTCTGTGATTTAAGGTAAGAACAATTAATGTAATAACATGTATTAGTGACGAGAAATATTCGTAGTCCGCTGTTACTAGCGGCACTGAAACTGATTCGCCGGTCACCCACCGGAAGAACGCGCACAACTCCCGCCCACATCAACAGAGCGCCGGCCGACCACGCAATGCAAGCACGACCGCAGCCTCATAAATTGTAGACCCGGTATAAATAATCTGTAGGAACAGTTACTTCCTAAAACGCTTTTAAACAAGGCAGGCGTATGTCGATTTCTCTTGCACGGAATTTCCGGTTAATTATACAATTAATGTGATAAATTTCCATATTCAGTAGAGATCGTTACTGAAACCTGTGTTTACAAAGATTGACATTTGCATTACTGTTGTCCTTTACGATTATAAACTTGTGTTCGAGAGAATTTTCTCTAGTAACTCCTAAATTGTGGACAACAAGTAGAAGTTGTTCGTAGTATGAGCCTATAGAAGAAAGTCCTCCAGCGAACGCGCTTTCTTCTGTAGTAGAGCTGAGGATACTCCTGGTGTTTCATTAAATAAATTAAGTAAAAGAATTTGTTGATTTTATGAACCCGTAAGACCCATTACATTAGCCTACGTGCCTTAACATATTTGTATAGACTTGTCGGAATACTGAGTGTACTTCTCACTGCTAAGAATACCCTACGTGTTTTACTTACGTGATAAATCGGAACATTTAGTAGCCTATTACTTCTTTCTGTAAGAATATGCGGTTCCTCCATTATACGAATGCTCGTATTCTCTTGTCTCGTTTTGCTTTCTATATATCTTGAGTCCCTTCTTTATTTCTACCTTTCTCTCTTCTTTCGTCTTTATTTATACCTTTGTCTATGTTTCTTTCATTCATTCGTCGCCTTCTCTGTCTGTCGTCCTTTGTCCCTTTATTTTCTTCTTTATATTTTCCTTCTAGCCTGTCCTGCATTTCTCTTTCTTCTCTTCTAATTCCTGTCTCTCTCCTCTCTCTCTTCTCTTCTAATTCCTGTCTCTCTTCTCTTCTAATTCCTGTCTCTCTTCTCTTCTAATTCCTGTCTCTCTTCTCTTCTAATTCATGTCTCTCTCCCTGTCTCTTCTAATTCCTGTCTTTCTTCTCTTCTAATTCCTGTCTCTTCTCTTCTAATTCCTGTCTCTCTTCTCTTCTAATTCCTGTCTCTCTCTCTCTCCCTGTCTCTATTTCCTCAAT